CCATACTACCAAAAGTGCTATACAAATTTAATGCAATTCCTATTAGGGTTCAATGATGTTCTTCAAAGAAATAGAAAGAGCAGTCATTAAATTCATTTGGGAAAATAAAAAACCCAGACCAAAGCAACTCTTTGCACGAAAAGTAAAGCAGAACTTAAACTATACTACAGAGCTATAGTAACAAAAACAACATGGTATTGGCACCAAAACAGACATGTATGCCAATGGTACAGAATAGAGGACACAGAGACAAATCCACATAAATACAGTTATCTCATACTAGACAAAGGTGCCAAAAACATACATTAGAGAAAAGATAGCCTTTTCAACAAATGGTGCTGGGAAAACTGGAAACCCATATGTAGCAAAATGAAATTAAACACCTCTTGCCTTGCACAAAAATCAACTCAAAGTATATCAAAGACTTAGGCACTAAAACAGAGATCCTGTGCCTACTAGAAGAAAAAGTTGGCCCAAATATCCATCATGTCAGCTTAGAAACTGAATTCCTCAACAAGATTCCTAAAGCACAAGAATTAAAATCAAGAATCAATAAATAGGATGCTGGCAAATTAAAAAGCTTCTTTAACAGCAAAGGAAACAATCAAGAACATGATGAGAGAGCCTACAGAATGGGAGAAATCTTTGCCACCTGTACCTTAGATAAAGAACTAATCTCCAGGATCTACAAAAAACTAAAAATAAATAAATAAACAAATAAATAAACCACTAAAATCAAATAACTCAATAAATGGGCAAAGGAACTGAACACACACATCACAGAAGAAATACAATCAAAAAATACATGAAAAAGTGTTCAACATCTCTAGCAATTAAAGAAATGCAAATTAAAACTACACTGAGATTTCATCTCACTCCAGGAAGAATGGCAATGATCAACAATACAAGAAACAATAAAGATTGGTAAGTATGTGGGAAAAAAGGTTCACGCACACATTTCTGGTGGAACTACAAATTGGTGCAACCATTCTGGAAAGTAGTAAGTAGATTCTTCAGAAAACTTGGAATGGAAATACTATTTGACCCAGTTATTCCACTCCTTTGCATATACTCAGCCACATCAATGTTTTAGCAGCTCAATTCACAATAGCTAAGCTATGGAACCAACCTAGGAACCCTTCAGCAAATGAATGGATAAAGAAAATGTAGTATATATATACACACTATGGACTATTACTCAGCCATAAAGAATTAAATTATGGCATTTTCCAGTAAATGGGTGGAACTGGAGACTATCATATTAAGGGAAATAAGCCAATCCCAATAAACCAAAGGCTAAATGTTCTCTCTGATATGTGGATGGTAACTCACAATAAGGGGGTAGGGAGAATAGATGGAGTTTGGATTAGACAACGGGGAATGAAGGGAAAGGAAGGAAAATGGGAATAGGAAGTAGAATAAATAAGACATAACTTTCCTGTGTTCATATATGAATACATGACCAGTGTAACTCCAAATCATGTACAACCACAAGAATGGGAAATTATGCTCCATGTATGTATAATATGTCAAAATACATTCTGTAATGTATAACTATGAAGAACTAATAAAAATGTTTAAAAATAATAAACTGAAGACTGTAAAAAAACAACACAGATTTGGTCTGATAAAGCTGTCAAAAGTCAATTTAACCTGAAAAAAGAATTATAATGGCATTGAAACCCTATTTAATCTCTCTGTTGCTTCATTACCCCAAACTTTAAAATATTAAACTAGAGTTACATTAGCATTTACAA